TTTCTCAAACTTTTTACAGTGTGTACCACCTGATAAAAATGTCAAGCTCTCCTAAGTACCACTATGAAAGCATGAAAGTCATAAATCTTACAACACAAAATTATTATTATTAAATTAGTAAAATTAGTATCTGCAGTAAAGGTTTTTTTCATACACTGTATACATTGTACCACAGGCAAAGTTGCCTCCATCTTAATAGTTTTTTATTAATACTTTGTAATAATTTATTCTGTTTTGGGAGTGTTTTTTATGTATCTGTATTATACTGTTTACTTTTTACTCACTATTGGCGTCATTCATTGTCCCCCCCACCCCCAGTAATTACGGTTAGGATATATATATATATATATATTTTTTTTTTTATTCCAATCCATTCTTCTTTTGCAGAATTTAAATAACCTTTATCAGATTTGATGGTTTTGTTCCAGACTTTTCAAAAAAGTGTTCTGGTTTTCTTTCATGAATGTGGGGATTCAATTGTGTTAAAATGTACAAAACAGTGATATCATGTTTTGTGACGAGGATCCAGGCAGAGAGACTTGATGAATTTAAGAATCTTATGATTTAATAAAGAAATTTGCAGACTTGCACAGAGATGGTAAAATTTTGATGACTGATAACAGAGACGAAGACAACAGATGAGAAGGACAGGGAGGAACAGGTGTTTAAATGCACCAAGGAGACAGTCATAGAGAACTCGGGACAACTGGAGACATTTAAGGATGCAGGGACTGAAAGAGACAGGGAAGAAGTCTCATCGTGACATGTAAAGTTTATCTTGCCTGGCTGGGCAGCTCTCTGGGTGCTCAGCACCCCCAAAGCTCTGATCCTAGAATCGCCCCTGCTTGAAACTAATTTTATCAACGGAAGATTCTTATTTTTGAAGGCTGTAAATATTAAACTTTGTGAGACAGTGAATACCAGCTGGTAACAGTAAAGTACAAATGTACTGTTCAACAGCCGCGGATAAACATCATTACTACTAACGATGGCAGTCGCTTCCAGAGCGTTAAGGATGGATCAGCTCCCCAACTGCTCCACGTTTCATCCTACTTTGACTTCAGGAACTTTATGCAGTACGTATCCCACACCTCCCCAGTGCACCAAAGAAAGAAAGAAAGAGGGCAAACACGTGATTGATCTCTCCTTAAACATAGGACGACAAATCATCTCATGGTTTTTTTTTGTTGTTGTTGTTTTTTTTAATTCTTACAAAAGAGATGTAGCAAAGGTGCTATCAGTGTTGTACTGCAAGTATTCACCAAAATGTAACTTCATTGGCAGCTGTCATGTAGTGGAGAGCCAACATTGTGATTTTAAAACGCTGCATAAACAAGATAAGGATCGCGTTTACAGTTAGCCGCATGCTAACAGCCGCCAACTGGTTGTTTGGATTCTGGTGGCATGCCATTTAATCTCAACTTTTCAAATGAATCCACTAAAACTTATCCAAGTACTAAAAACTATATTAAATTCTTGTAAATAAAAGGACAAGAATTATCAGCTACATAAATATGTAATACATTTCTGATTAATAACACTCTTTTCTAATTCTGTCTTGTTCCCAGTTTGGCTCAAGCTGGCAACAAACAAATGAGAGTTCACACACAGCTTAATTCCATTGTCCAGTTAAATTAAATGAACATGCAATACAGTGTGCTTTATACAACCTTTAAAATCCATAGTCGGTGACCGTTTTTCCCAATCATCCTGCAAGACAGCCTGCTGGACACGAAGTGGCGGTTTTTGATATGGGTGACATGGGCTGTTACCAAGGGCGGTGCTCTGGGAATCTATCCTACCTCACAAACCATCCTACCCATTGTTTCTGTGCATATGCTGTGCGTAACACAAACCCCTAATTTACAGGGGGTTGGGGGTTGATTAGTCAGAAGTCGCGTCAAATTATTATAGGGGTAGGAACGATGTGCCAAAGTAGGTCGGTTTCTCAGAACAGCGGCATCATGGGCATCGGCAAAAGAAGTTTCTTGCACCCATGCTGCCCTGACATCATTCCAGCGCATTTTGGGGATTGCATAGGCACCGATCACCGATCGGACAAACGTCATAAATTCTGACAAAATGAATTGCTTTGGACTGCACTATCATTGGTAGAAGATACGGGGATAGAAAATATGCCAGTCAGCGTTAGGTGATCCAACTTTCCAATTGCCGTGCTGAAAGACTATTTCAAATAAAATCCAACAGCTTTATGACACTGAAGCAAGCAAATTTAGATGCAATCCAGACAGCCCTGCTAATATGGAGGAACAACCCCAGGAGCAAACAAGACTGGGCGCCACTGAGCAGCCACTTCCCTGATGACCTACAAAAGCTGCTGATGAAAACAAGCGAGGAGGAGCAGTGAGCATATAGCACATTCTGTTTTACTAGAATTTTACTAGTAAGCAAAGGCATATAGATGACTTTGTCCTGAAAAGAGGCTTATGCACCTCTCAAATGGCTCTAATGATATTGTATATAATATTTACATAACATTATGTCAAAGATAACAGCAAGCCTCACTCCAGAGCATGTCCACTGCGAACCTGAATTCATGAACTAAATCATCTGTAAACTTTGGAAACGTGTTATTTTGAACTGAAAAATAAAATGTTTTGGATTTAATCTAAAGATTTATTTGAACTTAAGGACAGAAGCCATTTTTAATTTCCTATTTGCACATCGTTTTTTGTTTAAATACTAGTAGCACTTTAATTTGTTTTACCTAACATTTGTATTCTTTTAATTTTTTATTCTTACAGTTCTATTGATTAATGTTTAAAATATATTTGTCTATCATTAAATTCTTATGTTTTATCATTCATTTAATTTGCTGTGGGATGAGACAATAAGGTAGCATCAGGATTGGGCACACTTGAGCAGGTGAGGTGGAGCCTAGAACAGGAAGTTTGTCTACAGGAAGTGGCAGATGAGAGTTAGTGAGATAATTATTGACTAATCAAAGAGTTAATGACCTGAAAGTAGCACAACTTGAGATGTCACATGATTCAAATCAGCCAGGCCTTTATTTTGAATGGACCCACCACAAGCCCAAGCTTTTTCTTAAATGCAGTGTTTTCCTTCAAATAAATAAACACAATTATAGATATGGTTTTTACACTATTAACAAACCAAGCATTGTGTTTGGCTTCATTTACAGAAAAAAAAGTTTTTATTTTACTCCATTTGGTATTGTAATCGATTAATGGCAATTTCCTAAATAACTAATTTCTTAGACAAACATCAGGACAAGTTTTAAGCTTTTAACACTTTAATTCATCTATTTTCTTGCATTTGGTGCTGCACCACTGCTTTACATAGCAATGCTGTTGCAGGGAGAAAAATAACTGGAAGAAGCATTCTTATATCTTTAACAGTCTAACAAAAGTTTGCCTAACAGGGGGAGAAACAGAGGATACAGTATTGGACCGTAGCCTAAATCCAGGATAAAGAGGTTCAGTAATTGTAATTTTGAGGGTGTGGAGGTGGATGAGATTGTCTGAGGAGATTCTGTAGAAGGACACAGTGCCAGCAAGACAGTCCACATACACAGCTACTATGTCAAAGTCAGAGGAGGAGGAGATGCTGCATATTTTTTGCTTACTGTGCCACACAGAGTAACCACTGTCAGAGCACCTCAGACTCCAAGATTGATCATTTGATCCAAACCCACAGTCTGTTATGTGTCCTTTCCTTCTGATTCCTCTGTAACTCACTGATATTTCAATGTCTCCTCTCCACTCGAACTCCCAGTAACAGCGACCAGTCAGAGGATCTGTGCAGAGCAGCTGAGGACAGTCATCAAATCTGTCTGGATGATCAGGATATGACTGAATCTTCTTCACACGTGTCACCTTCCTGTTGTTGTCAGACAGTTTGAGGTTTTTATTTACTGTGTTTGTGTCGATTGTGAGTGGACAGGAATCTGATGGAGAGAACAAACACAATCCAGCTGCAGTTATTGATCCATCATCTGTTCATTGATTGACACTTTGATAATGACTCCTGACATCAGAGATGTGAATGAGTGATGTGACAGTTTGAAGATGGTTGAATGTGTGCTGCTTTGTTTTCATGAATCACATTAAAAACACACTTACACTTCCTCAGACCTGGTCTCAACCATTGTTCTCCAGCAGGCTCCACCCTGAAAGAAGGAGAGGGTCAGACCAGCACAGTCTCTTTCAGCATGCACACAAGGCTCATACACATAGTTTATTATTCTCTAATAGTAATAGTAAGTGAGGAATAGAAATAAATGCTTTCATCATGGTCAGAGTGCATAAAAAAATAACCACCTAAGGGCCAGATTTACTAATGTGTTGCTTCAGTCCAAACTCAACAAAGTACTGTCAGGATTTGCAAGATTGCATGTAACATGTGGGAACTGATATTTTTGCACTAACCGCCTTGCATATAAACTTCTGGAAGTTCCTTTCTAAAGCTGCAAAATATGGGTGAAAAAACTACTTAGATCAACTGTGCAAACAGGTGTACTAATGTTTGCGTCATGCAATATACTGCTGTTTGCACCAATATTTATTTGACATGGCAGCAATTACTGCTTGCACACGTAAAAGTGTGTTCTAGAAAAGAGAGATGTTTGTCCACTTGTGTCAGTTTATTTGAAATGCCAGAAAAAGCTCTTGTAAAACATACATATTACGCGGCGACCTAATTCTAAACTCGCTCACTGAACTCAGAGATGACTTGGGACCTCCGATTAAAAACTTTCAACTCTTTCATTTTTGGTATCAGATTTTCTGTGGGAGAAATTTCACAGCATGAACAGTGAGGTTCAAAGTGAAACGGCTGAAGAAAAGAGAGGATGATAACAGTAACGACTTTGGACCCTGTTCTAAAAATAATAAGGCCCTTATTAGTCATCATGCAAATTCAGCTGCTAGCACTTTGTCAACATGTGAGATATTAATCACACACACAAACTTACAAAGGGGTCTGCAAGCTGTAAATCTTTTTTTTTCATATTTCATCTTTTTTTTTTAAAGATCCAGCATGGAAAAATGGTGGTACGGTAAACACACAGTGTAGAATTAAACTTTTGTCAATCGGGGATTCACACAGGCAATCGCATCCACACCTACAGCAGATTTAGAAAGCCTGACAACATGACAGTATTTCTTCCTCCTTTAGACACTGTATGTGATTTCAACAGGCATCTCCATACCTGATATCCATTCTCAGCTGTTTCAGCTGCTTCTCTCCTGCCTCTCCTGGATGGTTATAGCTCAAGTCCAGCTCTCTCAGTCGGGAGTTGGAGCACAAAGCTGAGGCCAGAGAAGTGCAACCATGCTCTGTGATTAGACAGCCTGACAGCCTACAGACACACAAAACAACATGACAGTGATTGCCCCATGTTATCGTCCAAGTCTTCACTGTGGTTCACATTGTTGTGTGTTGTGTACACATTTAATAATGTACAGATATAGATATATCATCTTTACCCAAGATGCAGCACCTTCCTGTTAAAAGTTCTCCACAATCTCACAATATTGTGACAAAAATGATCTTATATTGCATGCTGTTGTCATACCCACAGGAAGTAGGTCCAATCTACAGAATATGGTGTGTACCGTAATTGTCGGGCTATAAGCCGCTACTTTTTGCACAAGCTTTGAACCCTGCGGCTTTTAGTCAGGTGCGGCTTTTCTATGGATTGTCCATGAGCGGATTTGTTTTGTGTGTTCCGCTGTTGTACGGCACTACGTTGCCTGGCGGAAGGATCGGGGTTCAAGAGTGGTATGTTAGTCACATGTCCGTCCGCCAGGCAACGTAGTGCCGTACGAAGTAGCGCGAAAAACAAATTTCAAAGTAGCGGTACGCGTTCAGCGGGAGGCGTGGATGATGAGCGGCGATAAACTTGCGAAAAGCAAGTTATGC